AAACCACAAATATGCTACACACGTGAAAGCCTGAGGCATCACCAAACATACTCATAATTTTATAAGTACATTATGAATTTTTAAAGTTGATGTTATTTGAAAAGACGTGATATTATTATATGTATGTTCAGTGTTGACTCCTGTTAATAGTTCAAATACTTTACTCAATGTTTCAAATACTTTTCACTCAACTTTTCGTAGCTGGAAGTAAAGTAAATACTTCAAGTAAGTATTTTAGTCTTTCATTTAAATAATTTTGATTTCTCAAAATACAAAAAATACTTCAGTACTTATAAACATCGTCTGCTTTATCAGTTTAGATGGATTCTTTTTTCTAAGAACGTTTCTGTTTCATGTGAGGAACTGGAAAAGTTTTCAATATGAACGTGGGACTGTGGATGTCCATTTGAATCTTTACTGCTTCGGATAGTGTATTTACCTAAAAATTTTAAAACATAAAGAACTGGAAGAAACTATATGTAATTGAAAGCAAGTTTTGGAAGATTCATGCCTGCTAAAATTTTGAACGATGTTCTCAAAACTGTCATCAATCATCATACAATGCGTGTGAAGCAAAGTCAATCCTGTTGACGTGGAAAATTTTGTAAATTTTGTAATGTGTTCCATAGGCGATAGAACGATCTCTAAATTTTCTTACACAAAAGAGAAACTCATCCACGGAAATGCAAAATTGTCAAATTTACGAATCCTTTTTTTTCAGGTCCAGTACTTAAGTGGATCGATAATTTCTTCTTTCCAATGCAGACATGTTTTTATTAAATGTAATATCTGATTTTTGTAAACTAATACACGACTCTAGTTTTCCAAATTATCGCCTTAAGTTATTTCTCAAAAATGTTCAATTCTTAGATTGGTTTTTTTGTAATTTTATGTCAAAATGAATAATAATTCATCACTAATTTAGTTAAAAAATTTTCATGAGAATAAAAAAGTTTGCCACACTACACTACTGCTGGTTTTCCGGATTTCCGGAAAAATGGTTTTTCCAAATTTCTTCAAAAATTGTATCTTCTACTTTCGTAGGAAATAAGGCCAATTTCTATTTGTAAATGGAGTCATTTTTTCAGTTCTTAAAAAAAATACAAAATGTAAATAAAAGCAAGAAGTCAGTGAACTAATATTGTATTATAAATTTAAATATTTATTTACTCCAAAAATTATTTATAAAAGAACTGAAGTAGTTGTAGTAGTTGTCTGTCGTGTGATATAAGTATTATTTAACCACAGCACTTCTAATTTTTCATATATAGGTTGACCTAAACTATGTTTGGATCTTCAAAATTTTATTTTTGTTGTAGAACTTACGTAACTTAAAATTTTCCCTACTGACTGAATATTAATCAAGATTTATGTATTATTTTTAGTCGGAAAAACTTCTAATAAATCTTTATTTAAAAATATGTAAATAACATGACGGATTACTTGCTTAGACAAGATAACACGTTCAGCTGTTAATAAACAAATCCATTTTCTTTTTTCCGCTTAGATTGTAATGCTGGATTACCCAGTGCCCTTGTACAACAAAAAACAAACATGCCACAACTTTAACGTGTAACAAATGAAACACGTATAAACATAACACCCACCATGTTCACTTCATATCTACGTAATTTATAACGAGGGTTCTGTGAAAGTTATTTACTAAATTAAACGATTGTTCCTGGATATATGTTCCCTCGACTCTAACCTGATTATGAACCTGAACATCCTTTTATTTCGCAATTAGTCTCTAAAATTATGCCCATGTTATGAATGGTGAGTAAATTTTAACTTATAAATAGGAAGTGAAGGCTAACCCATAATTTGGGCTCTCACGTGTCAATTTCTGCGTACCAGAAACATCATAACTGACACATTGTTACGATCGTGCAGATTTTTTTAATTATTTACGATTTTAATTGTGTTCGCAACAAGGAAGCTCAAATGTAGCAGGCTATTTTTAAATAACTGATACTTTTAAGACTAAATTAAAAAAAACAAAAAATATTATGCATCTTGTGTTTTTTCGTGCTTTAAGGTTTAATTAAAGTGTTTTTTCCTCAGTAAAAACACCATTCGAAAAGGAAAATAATTATTATAACACACTTTATGTAATTAACAAATGTCTTTTTAGAGAATACAAAGCAATGTTTACAGGGGAAAAAGGAGATTCGACTCACAGATTAACTATGCAATACAAATTTTAAAAATTCATTTATTTTTAAAACCCTGGAGTTGCATTTGTCACGTTTTGTCTTTGACAAAACCTTCAATATTCGTCATTTACAGTTATGATTTATTACAAAACCCCCACTGAATTTAAAAATGTCTCTAACAAAATAAAACCATAGATAAAATTCTGATGACATCCGAATTAATTTTAATAAATTATGGCCACGCCACAAAAGCCAGAAAACTCGATCGATCCTCTTCCTTCCCGCTTTTATTCTAACTTTTATGGAGCTGTAAAATTCTAACAAAGAAATTTGTTCGTTCAGCGTTAAAACCAATCAACAAATTTTCACTTATTAACTATGACTACCGTATCAAGTCTTACAACTCTTGTTAATTTTAGACATTGGGGGTTTTGATAAGTTATTGATTAAACGTTAAAAGCTATAATTAAAATTTTCTATGAATAAATCGAAACTTTGTTTTTTTTTAAGTAGCTTGTTCATTGAGGAGGAATGAGTAAAATTGACTCTGCCTTGTTTCAATCGATGGCACGCTAACATAGTAACTAATAGGAATTATCTCACCTCAACGTTATGTAAATTGTTTTAATTTTTCATAAACGATGCCTTCGGGCAGACGTTGAAGAATTTAAATTTAATGTCTCTATTTTTTTAATTCTTAAAGGTTTTTAGGTAAGTAACATAAATGTTGTTGTTGAACACGAATAGCAGGAAATATCGTCTTTAAATTAAAGAGTCGACCTTTAACACTGAAGGAATCATTTATAGGGGATTGTAGTTTTTGTTATATTTTTTTCTAGTTCTATAGAGTTACGCGACCGGTGGGAATCCTCTATCTAGTCGACGAACCGATAGAGAATCTTAAAAACAAGGGTTTCATTTGTTTTAGGTAGCCAAACTTCCGAAACCTGATCTAATTTACTTGACGCTTCAGATAATAGCTTTCACTCCACCTGACACGCCTGTATCTGAAAGGAATTTATTTTGTATTTTTGGAGAATCAATTCTTACAAACAATGTATTCCTTCGTCCTTTGTCCTTAGTCCTTTTCCTGAAGTTCGTTGCTCCTTTTCACACTTCAATATTGGTAGTTAAAATTAATTAATTACCCTCCTTTTGAGAGTACTTTAGCTAGATAAATGTTCTCTCGTGTACTTAATAGTCAGATTCCAAGTTCAAAAGTTTCATAGTTTAGCGTCACATGTTTACGATGCCTGATGTGCTCCATTTGCTTTCAGCGTAAGTAAGTTGGAAGTCATTATGAAAATAATGGTTAGCAAGTTTAATTAATCAAGGAGGATAATTATTTTCCCAACTTTTTTGACAGCATAAATGAAAATGTTGACCGGAGAATTAGTGGGGTTTTTCAAAAGTTTTAATTAAATTGTGGCTAGAACTGCAGGTTATTAAATTGTTAATGCATCGAACTTCAAAAATAAAACACTGGATTTGTTATTTTTTAATTAAAATGGTTAAACAAAAATGATTAAAATTCCCGCGATTTTCAGGCACCGAAATTTTTCGCTATAGCGAAACGGCTGCAACAAATTTGAACAAAAATCTTGAACAACGGCGCAAAAACCGCATTACTTTGTTTTAGTTGCTGAAGTATTGTCAGCAAAATATGTCAGGCCGATTTGAAAAAATTTTGGATAGCCAATTGTTTTCTTTTTATTAATTCCTCGAAAAGTATGATCATGTTGACCAAAATAATCTAACACTGAACGGATTAGACCAGAGTATTACAAGTAACAGGAGATAATATTCGAGAATAAAAACTAACTTCTTAGTTTGTACAGTTTTAAAATAATACTCAATAGCTTTAAATAAATGTCACTTAGGAACTTTTAGACTTTTTGATAAAAAGGTTAAGAACTCTGATGTAATGAAAAATTTAACCATGAAAGTATCAGTTGATGGTGTTAAGAACTTCGGAAAAAAAAACAGAAAAAATTATAATTTGGAATTGTAAGGCTTGAAAAAGAGTTGTAGCAGGCGAACGAAAAAAATACAGAATGAAAAACGAATTTGAAAACTTTAAACTATAATTACCTACTCTTAAAACAGGCAAAAGAAGCTGAAATAATTTAATGAAAAAATAATATAAAAGGAATTAAAAATTGTATCTGTTGGAATTGTAAATGAAAACAAAAACGCGTATGACTAACCTGCCTTGCCCTGACTTACCCTGACCTCACCTGTAAAAAAAAATACTATGTAAAATGAGAAGAGAGCGTAATGGTAAACAACAAATAAAAGAAAATCAAATAGCAAAAGTAAATCACCAAAAGAAGTACGAGGGCAGGAGAAACCAATACGTAGAATTCTCTCTATTGGTATTGGTTTCTTCCGCCCTATAATTTTCCTAAATTTTAGGAGCAAATAATTGAAAGCAAGCGTGATGATCAGGAAATACAAAGATAAAGAAAGTCAGTGAATTAAACTAAATAAAGAAATCACAAAGGACGATAACTATATTTGAAAAATATTTAATAAAAAAATGACTTTAAGCCACATCCAAAAAAACGAGAATACTGCTCTTTGGAAAAAAAACAATGATGGGAATAAAAAGAACATGATTAGAAGCTAACAAAGCGTAGGGAAAAACATGTTGTCTTTTATTCTATTAATAAGTTAATAAATCTCTGAAAGTATTGATTCTAACTTTTTGGATTCTATCAAATAAGAGTACAAAAAACCTTTCCAGGTCAAATCGGCCCCCAAGCCTATATTTAACTTGTAAAAAAGCAGCCGGTTTTAATAATCTCTTTGAATGTTAAAAAAGTAACAGTATGTTTTTTTCAGGTTTCCCAAAGGATCTGCGCCTCCATTAACTCAGAATCCACGCCTCGGCTTTGTAAGTGCAGGATATTATTTTTATTTTATTGTAGGTTTCCCACCACAGGCATAATTACATGAAAATGAAAACTAATGAATACTTCCTCGTATAATCGAAATCGAAGTGTTGAATCGTAAAAAGCCACGATTGTAGACTCCGGCACCAGGGAGGCTTCAAAGTATTTCCGTGTTTCCATTAAAACATCCAATTTGAAAGACAAACATGTTGCATTAAAGTTTTAAAAAGAAGCAACAGCCAGGAGACGAAGGCAAATTAAATGCGGCTGATGCTCCTAAATTTTTTATTTTCATATAAATGGATGGTGTCGTATGCTATCCATGTGGGAGACGTCTTGACAGAACGGTGCGTTGCATAACAATAAACCGAATTGTGGTATGGAGATCTGCATAGATATAATTTAAATCCAGGCAAGTCTATTTTAATTAGTAGTTCCACTGACGACAATAAAATAAGACATTTAGCGAAAAGGACAGAAATTTATAAAACAAAACATACGTTTCATTTCATTAATGAACTTTTTTTGTTAAATCAATGTTACAATTTCGCCTACGAAAACTAATTTCATGTGCAGGTCGATAATAATGTATTATGTATTCGAGGACGTCACATTATGAATAATTAGAATGTTCAACGAATTCTAGTATAATCATTAAACTTTGATTAGAATAAAAAATTTTCTAGGACGCCCAGACTAATTTCGTTCCTAAAATAATGAAAATCGAGTAATTTACAGTTTTATATAAATTTTATTTAAAATTCAAAATCTTAACAAAGCCTACAAGAAGGCGATGAAGCAATAAAACGCTGTTTACATAAATCTTCGTCCGTCACTTTTGACGGACTCTAAATTAGTTTGAATTTGTAAAAAATTACCACGTTTAAAATTCATCACAAACAGGAAAAGTTTTGAGTTTACTCTCGAATTCATCAAAAGCGTATTTACCCCAACATCTAAAAGTTCGATAAAGTAAAAAATCTCCCCTACCGGGAACATTCCGGGAACGAAATATGACACCTGCACCTACTTAAAATCAAATAGGGACTTAATTTAAAAATTCCAGTTTGTTAGAAGGCACTGAACGAGAATACTTCAGATTTTCTTATATTGAGCCACTTGAGCTACTAAAACGTATTATTAAAACTTTTTTATCCGTCGAAGGTAAAGTCGTGTAGGTCTTAGCTACAATTTTTAAATCAGAATTATACTCAATTTAAAGCGCCATATTTGCTGAAAAATTGCAGTAACTAAAACTGTAATGAATTACTAATTATAACTCTCAAATTTTTTTGGTCATCCTAGTGTATAACAAACAATTGACAAATTTAATTACACCACCACCAAATATGTCACTGAATGAAAATTCTAAATCAGCCTTAATTACAGCAAATGAAAATGGTAATTGAAAATTAGTGAGGATCTCGACGGAGAAACCCTTTCGACTCGTTAAATTTTACAAGCCTGCGATAAAATAATTAAAAGTTACAGACTTCAAATATCTGATTTAATGTCAAAAATCGTCTCATTAAGAGACATTTTCTTGCCAATTTCTAATAAACGAGCCTCAAGTGACACCTGCAACAAATTTCAATCGCAAACACTTAAACTTTTTTTTATATATTTAAAAATTATTCACATAGCTACATCGCTCCTTTAATCTTTAATTAAAAATTAAAAATTCCCAGCAATTACATCCTCATGCGAGTCAGGCCTCGGCTATAAAAATTCTGCGAAATCGATCCAGCGCCCCATTTATTACATTCTGAGCCCCTCTCACTTTTCCATTTTTAATTACCGCCGATTGTTAAACGCCGAATTCTGACGGAAAACACAAAGGAGGAAACAATTTCCTCAGGATTTCTTTAATGCCCAAGATTAGCGGCCCCGCATTAATAAACCATTTACAAAAATTGAAATCTGTGAAAGTTTGATGGAAAAATATTATGCATTATTAAAAAAATCTCTCGCGATCGGCAGATGTTGTCCGGATTAATTTTAAATGGGAGTAAACGAGGAAATTATTTGTAAGCCCAGGAGATGGGGCATCGGGGTTGTGTTACAGTCGGTCTTTATTAATGGCATCGTATTAGAACTGGATAAATTGGAACAGCAAACCGCTTACTGGCCTTATTTGCTTGAAATGTCCTTCGATGCCATAGCGAAGACAAATGGGCAATGGCCAGAATTAATTGCGAAATTTGTTCAGAGGGCTAATTTTATGTGGGTTAGAATGTTACATTTTAAAACTATGAAACATGCAATCACTGTTCCTAAAATATTAAGCTTTTTACGACAAGGAAATCGTTTGTATTATGGAACATTTTTTTATATACCTTTTATATACCTACAATAGATTAAACATTTTTGAGTGATTCTATCTCATTAGTCATTACTTTCCGATATTCATGCTCTAGTTTATACCATTAGAATTGGTATCCCAAAAATCCCTTGGTTGTTAACACCTGTCCACAAATTCATATTTTGGGAAAGAGATTTAGGCTTATAGTCGTGATAAAAGGAATCAAATAACTGTTGAAAACGACCATAAATACAAGAAGCTAAGGAATTTTGCATTAGCATGTCTTTGGAGACAAAAGAAAGCTTATCTCGAGTATGTTTACGAACAATACCAGTTTTTTTTTTCATATTAGTATTTAATACAAATATTTTTTAATTCAAATAATCAGTTCGTGTCGCGTATTTACAAACAAAAGCTAACGAAAAAACTTCGTTATTTAAACTGTAACAGGCGATTCGAAGCTACATTATATTGAAACCCAGGATACGCAAACAATTTTAATTAAAAAATATCTAAAAAACTAGTCTTAATTAAAAATTAGCGCATTTGTAAATTACCAGAAGTCGTTCAGGTTTACATTTACCCCTGTAATTAATCCCCATCAACCTAATTACAATTGTATGTTTGCCTTGTATAAATAGAATCAACGACTCGTAAATAATTAAACTTGAATCTATCAATCAGCAGCTAAGTTTTAATTTTTTTTCTCGTAAATATTATTTTTCTCAATTAACTCTCCCGTACATATTACTCATCAGCGCTAATAACATTAGTTCCAAATCGAGTTCTTGTTTGTCGTTAGTGCCACTCTGTAATCCCGATGACTTCCAGGTAAGCACATTACACAATAATCCCCTTAATAAAATACCATCCAACCCCGCATTTTCGGGCTTTCAACAAATTATTTTGCCTTTTGAAAACACAGCCTGCCGTCGCAGAACCGTTACGTCATTAATAAATCAGTTTAAACTTCCACCCAGTAATCAGTAGATCTTTACAGTATTTCGAGGCTCATTTTTCATCGTTATAGACACCGCCGCTTGGGCTTTTCACTTTTCCGGTCACATCTGCCAGTTTTTTATCGCATTCCCAGTGGATTTTTTTCTGATGGATATCAGTCGCGAAAAGCTCATAATTTGATAAAAGAGAATTAAATGAAGCTTAACCTCTTGTCTCGCGTAGGTGGAACAATTTTTTTGCGGTGGATGATACATTTGATTTATTTTGTAAACTGGGATGCAAAATTTCAGTGTTTGTTTAGAGATTTTGATTTTTCAGGTGATACCTAAAGGAAGAAGAGTTTTCGTTTTTGTGAAAATTTATCATAACGCAATCTTCCACAATGAAAGCTTTATAGTTGTACTTATACTCCGTTGGGAGACTCTGTATATACAAGGTTCGTGTGCCCATCCAATTTTTCTCTAAAAGAACAGTCTATTTTTCATAGATTTAAAATAAATTGAGTTTTCTTTTGATGTGTGAAATCATAATGGTAATAATTTAAAACAAAACGTTTTATCTCGCTTGTAATAACTGCAACTTATAATATTTATTGATTAATGATATAAACGCTGCAGTAATTAGTTTCCGATAACTGGATGTCTGCATGATGCCGTGTATTACTATGAAATATTAGTATAATGATGTACAAAGCTTAATTATAACAATGTCCAACCCAAATTTGAAAACCGTACATAACTTTATTTGCTAGTTTCCCAGTCAAATACACAAATTCGTATCTGTTGCAGTTTGTTTTGTTTACACTCGCACGTGTTGTGCTCTAAAAACTGAACAAATTTAACCACAAATAAAAAATATTAACTTTTCTTAATTCCATTCTTCGCTAAAAGAATTATAAATACTCAAACATCACACCAAAGCTCAAATTAAATTTACACGATCCTGTCACACTATTATTAATCGTCTTTACCAACTACAACTGCGAGTACTCGTATCTCCAGTTCATAACCTGAATTCCATATATTATCCACTTTTCCCTTTATCTCTATTCATAATGTAGTAGCTTCCAAGATATTAATCACCGTGATCAATTAGACACGTACGAATGAAGAAGAGCTTTACACACGAGCTAACATCAACATAATTATGAATGGAAGATCTCCCAAATCTTCCGGGGGTGAATTACCTAACTTGGCGTAAACAAGCGTTGTTGTTTCAAGGGAAAAATAACGGAATATTTGGAGTATTAGATGAAGTGGAGTCTTGGGATCGAGGGTGAATGCTTCAAACAGGTGACGCAATAACGAATTGGGAACGTCGGGTGTGTGAATGATGTGGTGCGGAGGTGTCCATTTCGCCATTCAATGATTTGTTAAAAGCTAGGAAGGTTATTTGATATTAAAGTTCTGTAAATCCCCGTGGATTTATTTTTTAATTATGTAATTTTTTTAGTTAAACGTCGTTAAAGTTGATGTTATTAAAATCTAACATATGGCTAAATGTTGGACAAGCTGCTACAAAGAGATTGCACACATGGATCGATAATCGTAAAGACGAAATATTTTGATGGGCTATTTGGTTGTTTCTATCAAAAGTTAACGACAAAATATTGGTCAACATTCATGTTCACAACTTACATTATGATTATTTTAGATCTACTCTTTTTGAATTAAATTTAAAATTGTTGCTAATTCTTTGTGAATGATGTCTGAGTTATCGTATGTACTTAGCTTTGTATTC